CGGTGCCTTATACATGCTCTAGGGCATCAGAGTCCCTGCACAACTGGGAGTGAAATATACCTACAATGAAATTGCCGGGTCCAATACAGACTCCTTAGTCTCTTGATGGATTGCTACTAAGTACATGGGCGCCTCAAGCATTTCTCCAGAACCTTCCATTATTAGTTTTCTACCAGATAGAGCAGAAAATGCAACAGCAAAAAAATAAAATGAAAGTTAATGACCCTCCTTGTTTGCTGCCTCACATCTCTTTCATCTAAAGTTTCACGCTCTGTGCCTTCCACTGAAATAGAAAATCTTACTTTCTCTCCCCCAGAGACAGAAGGGCAGAACATTTGCTGCCATATTTACATATGACAATAGAGAGACACTTTATACAAAACACCAAGGTGTCCAGCATCCTAGGAGATATTTATTCAAGTCATTATAGCCTTGGTCCTTTTTGATTCAGTTCTACTAACACCTTTCGTACGGCTCACGAGTTTTCTCGTGTTTCGCGCGCCATCTGTTAAGGACCGCTCACGAGTTTTCTCGTTTTTCACGCCCATGGAAAAAGGAGCGAATCTAGATACAAGCAAGGAACAATACTTTAGATATTTGTCCTACACCTTATAAGGCTGTAGCTAGTTTTAATAACATTCCTCCTCCAAATACATTCCATATTCCTTATCTTTGACCAGAACTTCTATTTAACTAGTCTCTTTATACATAGGGTAACCTAACTGAACATTCTAGACAGAAGAAAATGAGCTCATGCTGGGACTTCCTGGGTAGGTTTTAATCTTTCCATCTTTCAGGCTTTCATGCCTTCTAGCTTCCATAAAACTTTACCCATTAGGACGGTGCCTTATACATGCTCTAGGGCATCAGAGTCCCTGCACAACTGGGAGTGAAATATACCTACAATGAAATTGCCGGGTCCAATACAGACTCCTTATTCTCTTGATGGATTGCTACTAAGTACATGGGCGCCTCAAGCATTTCTCCAGAACCTTCCATTATTAGTTTTCTACCAGATAGAGCAGAAAATGCAACAGCAAAAAAAATAAAATGAAAGTTAATGACCCTCCTTGTTTGCTGCCTCACATCTCTTTCATCTAAAGTTTCACGCTCTGTGCCTTCCACTGAAATAGAAAATCTTACTTTCTCTCCCCCAGAGACAGAAGGGCAGAACATTTGCTGCCATATTTACATATGACAATAGAGAGACACTTTATACAAAACACCAAGGTGTCCAGCATCCTAGGAGATATTTATTCAAGTCATTATAGCCTTGGTCCTTTTTGATTCAGTTCTACTAACACCTTTCGTACGGCTCACGAGTTTTCTCGTGTTTCGCGCGCCATCTGTTAAGGACCGCTCACGAGTTTTCTCGTTTTTCACGCCCATGGAAAAAGGAGCGAATCTAGATAATTTTTAACATCCATTCTTATTATTACTGGGAGCTAGGCTAGTTAGCAAGTTAGACAAAAACGTTGACTCTGTTGGAACCAAGGAGCAAGGAATCTCTAGACTTCTTCTCACCTGGCCCAACAATGAGGAATAAACATCAGGAATAGGAACTTTCGTAGGTAAATCAACTAGAAAATCCGGAAATAGTTCCAAGTAAATTAAGAATATCATTAAAGATTTTTTTAAATAAAATAGTATTTTTTAAAAAATATGATAAAGTTAGCATTTCAGATCAAGGGAAATTTTGATATATTTCTCAATAAATGATAATATAATTTGTTATTTATTTGGTATAATAGTCAAATTAGATCCCTACCTCCACATCATATGCAGAAATAAATTTCAAATATATTAAGGTTGTAAATGTAAAAAATAAAATTATTAACTTATATAAGAAAACATTTTGCTAAATTTGGAGTGATGGGGGACTTTCTAATAAAGGCAGAAAACTCAGAAGCCTCTAAATGTGTTTGGGTATTTATGAATGACAGATTTAATTAAATAAATATCTATAATAATAAAAGCATAATATGCTAATTAGACCAGATGGCCGAACAGCAGAACCACCACCCGGACGACCTTCTGGACGAAGCCTGAGCTGCAAGGGCTGAGCCCCTTGCACAAATTTCATGCATCGGGCCTCTCGTATGTACGTAATTACATAAATGTTAAAAGTACTCAATTGAAGAAACCACAACAGTATTCAAGGACAAATAATATCCCAGATGAAAACATTTACAACAAATGTAACTATTAAGACTCAGAATTTATAAAGTATCCTGTAAATCATTAAGAAAAAAAGATATCTCAAGACAAAAATAACCAAAGTGTAAGAAGAGGTAATTCACAAATTCAACATGCCATTACCCAGGCTAAAATATTCCAATCCCCACTATTAGGGAAATGTAATTTAAAACAATGGTCTGCCACTTTGCACTCATTAGATTTACTACAAAAAGAAGTGTTGGCAAGGCTGTGATTAATTGGGTAATATCTGCTGAATTTTATAATGCTTACCTTTGGACAAAAAACCCACTTCTAAAAATGTATGCCATAGAAATAATTTTACATAAAGATTCATGTACAACAATATTTGCTACAGCATTATCTGTAATTATCTATCAAAAACAACCTAATTGGCCATTAATACAAAAGAAGTTAGCCTAGCTGGTGTAATTCAGTGGTTGAGCATCGACCCAGGAACCAAGAGGTCTCTGGTTTAAGAAGGCCCACTGGAGAGTGTGCAGGAGGCAGCCAACCGTTGATTCTCTCTCATCATTGATGTTTTTGTCTCTCCCTCTCCCTTCCTCTCTGACATCAATAAAAAATATATTTTTAAATATAAAAATGTTATGATACATTGATATAATCCATATAGCTATTTTAAAAGCTCAGCAAGATCCATCTGCATAGCATGATTTCAATTATGACTTTGTTATTTTTAAATTAAGATAAAAGCTCTCTCAATGAAACCCACTTAATGAATTAATTGACCTCCATCTTCCATATAAAATATACTACTGAATTGTTCCCATCTTTGGAGACACAAGTAAATAGATGGCTAAAACAGAATTTACCATCAAAAAGGAGATTCTAGCATTTAGAGAAGCAAAGAATACTGATACCTAAAGATAGGTCTCTAAGCATGTGGCGGGAGGGAGGTTGAAGATTGGGTGGAAGGATTAAGAGAAGTGACTTTCTTTACTTACTCTAATTCAATAAAGAAAGTGATGTAGAAAACTTTTTGTTTTTTTCTCTAATACTTTTTTAAAAAACATTTTTATTGATTTCAGAGAGGAAGGGAGAGGGGGAGAGACAGAAATATCAATGATGAGAGAGAACCACCGATTGGCTGCCTCCTGCACAAACCCTACTGGGGATCAAGCCCCAACCCGGGCATGTGCCTTTGACCAGAATCAAACCCGGGACCCTTCAGTTAGAGGCCAACGCTCTCTCCACTGAGCCAAACCAGCCAGGGCTCTAATACTTTTTAAATATTATTTTTTCTAGAAAAGTTTAAGACAGAAAATTGTCAATGAATGTTTGGTAGAACTTATAAGTATAATTATCTCACCAGTAAAACCAGCATTTATGTAAATGTCATGCATGTTTATTAATGAACTCAGGCATTTTGCTGTATACTGAGTTCATTTGAGTAATTTCATTGTATGGAGATTTTTTAAATACTTTTACAAACTATTTCCTAGTGAAGTTTTCATGTCCTTCATGTTTGAGTTCTATCCTTTTCACATTCTTATTATTGATGATGTTTATTTCTTTATTATTTGTCAATTACAGTTGACATTTAATATTTTATATTAGTTTCAGTTGTACAGCAACATAGTGGTTAAACATTTTATATAATATGTGAAGTGATTCCTCCAATAAATCTAGTACCCAACTGGCACCATACATAGTTATTACAATATTATTGACTATATTCCCTATACTGTACTTTATATCCCCATGACTATTTTGTAACTACCAATTTGTACTTCTTTTTTTAAAAAATATATATTTTATTGATTTTTTAGAGAGAGGAAGGGAGAGGGATAGAGAGTCAGAAACATCGATGAGAGAAAAACATCGATCAGCTGCCTCCTGCACACCTCCCACTGGGGATGTGCCCGCAACCAAGGTACATGCCCTTGACCGGAACCGAACCCGGGACCCATCAGTCCACAGGCCGACGCTCTATCCACTGAGCCAAACCAGCCAGGGCCCAATTTGTACTTCTTAATCCCTTCACCTTTTTCACCAAACCTCACCCCCCAAACCTCCCCGCCTCTGGTAGCCATCAGTTTGTTCTCTGTATCTATGAGTCTATTTCTGTTTTGGAAGATGTTTATTTCTTCTGTTTTTCTTAGCTATTCTTGCCCAAGTTCTGCCTATTTTAATGGTATTTTTCAAGTACAAACTTTTTATTTTATTTAGCAATTTATGTGTTCACCTAATCCACTAATGTCACCTACTATCTTTATCAATCTCTTCTGTCTACTTCCTTTATATTTATTTTGCTGGTTTTGTTCCAGTTTCTTAGATTCGAGATTATGTTAACTTTCACATTTTTACATTTATACAGGGTGGGGCAAAAATAGGTTTACAGCTATGAGAACATGAAACACAGAGTTTAATCTTGTAGTCTTATTTTTAATTATTTTTCATACAAACAACTGGAAACCTACTTTTGCCCCATCCTGTATATTAAAGCACTGATAATAAGTTATTTACAGCTGCTTATTATAGAGATGCTGATATCCTGAGCCATGGGTAGTCATGATCCCTAGATATGGAGGAGAGAGGCCGAGGCTGAGGTTCAGCAGTAGAGCTCTGATAAACCGTGACCTTGCAAGCTACATGGCTGGGCACCCAAGCACATTGTGTCCTGCTCACTCAGCTGATTCGGATGCAACGGAACCCTGCCCAGGCTTGGGCCCTGGAGAAGTGAACTCAGAGATATGGGTTCAACTCCTCCCGAAAAAAAGCTCCACCCCCAAGATATAATTTCAGCCAAGTTCTGGATGCTTCTGTCTGCTCTCTGCAACACCATGAAGCCAGAGTTGATCCACTTATTTGTGTTGCTCCTCATCTTGTCCATGCCTCTCCGTACATTTTCCGCTTTCATGTTCCCTCTAAAGATCAGAAAACAATTGTGCGAAAGTGGATATCTTGGAGGTAAGGCACAATAGGAAGGACGACCCAGGAGGACAGTGTGGAGGAAGAGGAGATCTAGGCAGCCTGGGTGATGTAGCTGCCAATAAGAAGGAATCAAGTTCTCCTTTTATCTCAAACTGTATGGTTCTAGAGCATCTGATTCCAGGACTTACACTGAGTTCCATCTATTATGGATTGGAGAAGCAGAAAGATAAACGTAATTCTGGCTGTTTTTGCTCAGTGGTAGAGCATCATCAGCCAGGTTCAAGGACAGGTATCTCGATTGCAGGAGGCAACCAATGTGTCTCTCTCATGTGAATGTTTCTCTCCCCCCACCTCCCACCTCTCTCCTCCCTCCTTTCAACTCTTTCTAGAAATCATTGGGGAAAATATCCTCAGGTGAGGATTAAAAAAGGAAGAAAGAAAAAAGTAGAACTCACTTAAGTATTTTCCAAAGGGATTTCAATGTAAAAGAAGTGGGGATTATGAAAATTGGATTGATGTCAGAGTGTCCAGAAAATTCCTTTACGAATGTGTGTGTGTGTGTGTGTGTGTGTGTGTGTGTGTGTGTGTGTGTGTGTGTATTAGATGAGTTTCTATTCTATTTAACACATGTATACAGGACCATTGTGTTACACTCCATGGATATGAGGCTGAGGCCATCATTTGCATGCTTAGGGCACTCACATTCTATTTAAAATTAATTTGCTTGATTCAAATTACAAAGGGTAAATGGGGCAAATTCCTGGTTATAAACAAGGGCTGTAGACTTCAAGAAGACTGACATTAACTCTTCCTTTGCCTCCAATATGGTCATCATTGTTCCTGCTCTAACCACCTATCTTCATGGTCTCAGTAAGACCAGGTGAGTCTGAATGGGTAGCCAAAAAGCGGGGCTGAATGGAGAGGACAGACATTGGTGGACGACAGGAAGATCTTTGGCCAGACAGGACATTTTAAGCCTTCGGGGGTGGGTGTAGAAAGCCCCTCTTAGCTTGTGTGCTTACAGGGATTCTGTGGAGGTGAAATGAAGGGCTCTGACCTATGTCCTTGGGAGAACAGATGAGATGTTCACTTCCAGTGACACGGGAAAGCATTTGGAGAGTCAGGAAGTGGGATACATATTTAATATGAAGAAGGGATGCTGTAATGGATAGAGGAAGCCTTGGGTCTTCTTTCTTGCTTTCATATCTAAGGTAATAGAGCTGCCTATTGTCCTTCTCTAACTGTTTACCTGAGGCATTGACCCAGGTGATAGTCACTGCTTCGTATCACATATACAGTGAAACTTATTCTCAGGGAACTCTCCCAGTGGTAAAGAATCAGGTGGGGCCAAAACCGGTTTGCTCAGTGGATAGATAGAGCGTCAGCCTGCGGACTGAAAGGTCCCAGGTTCGATTCCGGTCAAGGGCATGTACCTTGGTTGCGGGCACATCCCCAGTAGGAGGTGTGCAGGAGGCAGCTGGTCGATGTTTCTCTCTCATCGATGTTTCTAACTCTCTATCCCTCTCCCTTCCTCTCTGTAAAAAAATCAATAAAATATATTTAAAAAAAAAAGAATCAGGTGGGTTTACATGGGTTGATGAGCATTACTAGTCTGAATCCATGAGGAGAAGAATGCCCACTTATCAGTGGGGATGAAAACCTGACTGTGGAATTTTCATGCACAGAAATCTGCAACTATCCCCCAAAGTTCGGCACCTGTAAGCTAGTTTTGACCAGATTCTACTACAACACGTTGACATTTTTGTGTGAGCCCTTCATCTTCTCTGGCTGTTCAGGCAACAGGAACAACTTTAAACAGAAACATCTGTGTGAATATTATTGTATTCCTGAAGCGTAAGTCTCTCAACTCCTCACCCCACCTCCAGTGACACTAAATATTAGGAACCGGGGGTGTTTGTTTGTTTGTTTGTTTCAGGAAAAAGCAAGTGCAAGGCCAGGGGAAATTGAGCAAGGAGAAAAATTATACCTGAGTTGGGGACAGTCAGTCATAGGCACAAATTTCAATGTCTTGGGTCATTTAGTCCAACAAAACTCTTTTGAAATTGTGAAGACTGAAACCCAGGAAGGCTAATGATTTTCCAAGTTCACTCAGAAGGAGGACATGGATCTAGACCCACCCAGCACTGCACTATCACCGTAGTGGCCTCAGGTCTTTTGGGTCCTGTCCAACACCTTATTGTTGCACGGTTGAAAGAGAGGCTGGGAGAGTGTCAGGAGAGCAGGGGAAGACAAGTATCTCTGTTCAGTATGGTATAGTGAGGGGTGAAACCACAGCCTTATGCTCAAGAGCAAAGACATCACTTTATTCATTTGTATATTGTCAGAGGTTGGCATTATATTTGCTCACTAATATCTTCTGGGTAGACTTATAGATCAGGAGGGACACTAGTATTAAAAACAGCTATAAAGTTCTGCTAAGATGTATAGGACCCACTGAGTCTACCAACGACCATATCAGTCACTAAATTTAATTATTTATTCATTTATTTATTTATTTATTTATTTATTTATTTATTAACAGGGACTGGGGTGATGGAAGACCAAATTCTTAATGTGACAGAAGGAAGACCAAATGCTTAATGTGACAAAAGGAAGAAGGAATATTCTTTATGAAAAATTATGACAAAATTATTCTGAGTAAATAAATTAGACTATTTTTGGAAGGGGTTTATTTTTTTTAATTTAAAATTCTTGTTCATTTCTTTGCCCAGATTTGCCTTTCCTGCTGATTACATATATAAAATTTTCACTGAAAATTTTCTGTGTCGGCCCTGATCTAAATTCATTCATCTCTTCCATCCTAGATTCTTCCAACGTAAACTACAAAGGACCTCTCTATAGGCACCAACCTACCCATGTAATGAGTCAGTCTGTAAAAAGGCAGTCATTGTTGATATCTTCTTGTCATGATCTGCCAAATTTTAATTTGCTTCTGTATTTTGTCACCTACTTCATCGAATTTCCATGTAAGTGGCACTAAAATAATCATCATTGAATTATTTCATCTTCCCCAAATCAGTGATCATTCAATCCCCAACAATGCTCCTATTCTAGGGAAATGTCTCCAGTGACCCAGGTGCCAATAATATATAAATTGTGACTTCACATCTGGGAACTACAAGTCTTGAACCAAACTGAACCTCAAGTCAGAGTATAGAGGGTCATTCCCCTTTTCCCTGACTGCCCTATTTCTAATCCTCATAAAAGGGCCCAGCCTCACAAATAAGTCCAGTGATATGAGCAGCCTCGGCCAGTATTCTAAGGTCCATACACAATAGGAGGAACTGCAGCCCAGGATAAGGCCACATGTGAGCATTCTAGCTCAATCCTAACGATGGCAACCCTTGCTTCTGGACTATGGGCATAGCCTTGGGAAAATCTTGGGAATTGGTAGAAAGCATAGGTTAGAGATGTCGCCCTAGCCCCTGACCCAGAAATTACTCCTGTACAAGTAAATAAATAAGGACAAATGAAACAAGAAGGTCACTTCTGGGTAATGAGTCAAAGTCTAGTGTCCCACACCATTCTGAGTCCATATAAAACAGTTCTAGCCCTGACATCATACATCTTACCTGGTGCTCATTGATGGATTCTGAAGATTTTCCTCCCTCTGACTATTGTGAAACACATCTATATATATAAAAAGCCAGTGACTGGAATACTGTAACGACTGGAATGACCGGTTGGTCACTATGATGCCCACTATGGCCAGCGAACCAGCCCGATGGAGGGTGGGGCCGGCCAGCCAACGCCCCCCACGGCCCTCACCTGGCCGGCCCCACCCCTGATCGCCCCCCTCTACCCCAATAGGGGGCGGGGCCAGCTGGCCAACCTCCTACAGCCCCTCCTCCCACCCGGCTTCACCCCAGATTGGCCCCCACCACCTCAATCAGCCCACAGCCTCTCCCCTCAGCCAGCTCTGCCCCCATCATCTCCCCCCACCAATCAGAGGTGGGGCTGGCTGGCCAACCTCCCACAGCCCCTCCCCCAGCCTCTGATCCCTGATTGGCCACCCCCACCCCAATCAGGGGTGGGGACCCACAGCCCCTCCCCATGGCTTGCCCCACCTCCAATCAGCCCCCCACCCCAATCAGGGATGGGGCCCGCTGGCCAATCACCTGTGGCCCCTCCCCTCAGCCTGCTCAGCCCTGATCATCCCCAGTTCAGGGTGGGCCGGCCAGCCAACCTCCCGCCATCTCCTCCTCCTGACAGACCCAGCCCTGATCTGCCGATTGGGGTTGGGCCAGCTGGACCCCACCTGTGCACGAATTCGTGCACTGGGACTCCAGTTGTTATATGAAGAAGTCTCGAGTGTAACTTCCTTGAAATGTGTTTCAGAACTATATTCCAGTATTCCAAGGAATTACTATAAGTAACATACTCTCTGAAGACAAAGAATTGGAGACACTAACTACCCAAAGTCCAATTAGCCTCAGGTTTTCAGGTTTCTTCTGGGAGTTACCCAAGTTTCCTTCTCACTCAGTCCTAAATTTGCCTCTTAAAAAAAAAAGGTACATGTGTGTTGTCTGTGGTGAAGGAAGACATACACAAATGCACACAAACATCAGTGAAAGGGCACAGAGTCAGATGACATTTGTAGGCCTTCCCATAGAACTACATACCCTCCTACAAAAAACTTCTACATAAGAGAAGTCACACAGGACATAAACCTATATGAAACCCAAACAGCTTCCATGTTACATTCGAGTGAAACATTTTGAGGGGATAGTCCTGATAAAAGGAGGACAAAAATTAAAAGATAAAACAAGGTCTTAGGATACACTCCAAAGACAGAATGAAAATATTATAGTCCTGACTCTGGTCTCTTCCCCAAGTCATGTCTGATCATTATAGAAACTGAAAGGGAAATTTTTATTTTTTTTAAATATATTTTTATTGATTTCAGAGAGGAAGGGAGAGGGAAAGAGAGATAGAAACACCAATGATGAGAGAGAATCACTGATCAGCTGCCTCCTGCATGCCGCCCACTGGGGACAGAGCCCGCAACCTGGGCTTGTGCCCTAGACAGGAATCAAACCTGGGACCCTTCAGTCCGTAAGCCGGGGCTCTATCCACTGAGCCAAACCAGCTAGGGCGAAAGGGAAAATTTTAATTATATATGACAGAGAAATTAGAAGTAGTTTATGAATGGCTTATTTTTGGTTCCAAGGGCCCCAAAGAGAAAGAATTTGATGGAGCAGATGTGGGAATGTGGCACAAGTTTGGCTGTCACTCAAGAGATACTGAATGCATTTTGCTTTCACATCTGGGTGCAGAGAAGAGGTAGAGAAGGGGAAGTCCCATGATCATCACAACTCTGATCTCTTCCCTACTCAACCCTCCCCTTCCATCTCCTTTACTGAAATAAATAGATCAGGAGAACACCTCCAATCTTTCCTAAGTCTGGCCCTCACTGGATCTGAGAGATCACTCTCTCCTTGTCATTTTTGTATTCAGCAGCCTGACACCAGTCCCATCATGCCAGGGCCTTCTAGTCAAATTCATTCATGACCTGACTACTTCCTAACTTCTTTAATTCTATCTCCTGTTACAGAGTAATTATCCTCAAGTACCATGTGTATTTTTCAGGCCCTTGATGTAGGCAGGACATGCAATGTTTATGGTTAAAATCTTAATTCCACCCAATATTTGAATCCCCCATGTCTGTCCCATATTATTACTGTTTCCCACCCTGTGCTTTTATCTCAACTTCACTCATCTTTTTATGAATATCCTGGGTTTTGAGAGGAGAAAGTGACCTAAAAGATCATCTAATTCAGCTTGACCTATTATGTATCCTGGATCTGAAGATCTGAAATGTGAGATGACTTGACATATGTCTCACAGTATCTCATAGTTTCATTTATGTCAAGCATGCGGCCCACAAGGAATATTTTTGCAGCCCAGCCAATATAATGGTATGTAAGAAATGTTTTAATAAAAATTTCGTAACTTAATTTTTACAATATCCTGCTATACATAATTATTAATGAACTACAACGTTCACTAATTACTATAATCATGTTGCATTCATTTCCTTTACATGCCTTATGTGCAGGTGCACCATTTCTCTCCACTAATACTAGCAGTGAATATTCTAGCAGCCAATTGCCACGTCATTAATCTTGTACTGACTTGTTTGGTGTGTGCAAAGGGAAATATTTCGCTTTCAGAGAACAAGAAAAATGAGTTTATTTGCTTTATGCTTATTAATTTGTGCAGTTATTCAGTGTCTGGTAAGTTAATGTTCAAGAAAAAATATTAATTTTTATTAAAATGTTCTATATTAAGGATTACTTATTTCAGCCCTTTGTATTTAACATGTCTCTATCGAAATAAACCTTTGTCTCTATGAAAATTGAAGCTTTTGTTTTTTTGCAGCCCACATAAACTTAAACCTTGTTTATTTGGCCCATGTTAGCCTTTGAGTTTGACATGCTTGATTCATGCTTAGGGTTTCGCATGAGAGAAGTTTGGAAAGGGGGTTACAATCTGTAGGAGGCAAATGCTGATATCATTATGTGAATTATCTCTCTAGAAAGATAATGTGATACAGTAAAGAATTTTTTAGCTAGAAGCTTTAATTAACAGGGATCCCTGCTCTCAGAACTCATGTTTTAGAAGAAAAACATGAATCAACAGTTTAATTCAGGAATTTAGTCTCAACTATTTTAAGAGCATGTCCTGGAGGTCCC